CGGCTCCCCCGACAGCCACTCGCCCCGTGGGCCCAGAGGCCGAGGCACTGCCCGAGGAGCCTCTCCCCACATACGGACAGGAACAGTAGCCATGTGTGCAAGCAAGCCCAGGGCAGCGAGCAGGTACCTGCCGGGCCGGAGCAGTGCTGGGTCCAGGAGGTCAGGTCTGTTGGTGGCGCCGATCACAAATACGTCTCTGGTGGAATGAAGTCCATCAAGCTCTGCTAGCAGCTGGGAGACAACTCTGCCAAGGGCAAGAGAGGAACGACAAAGGGACGGACACTCTGGAGTTACTGCTAAACCCACCTCAAGGTGTGAACAAACCCACTCCCCAGACCCCTAGACAATTAGCTGTATTGTTATCACCGGAGCACCCACAAGCCCCAGCTCAGACCAGCCCCATTGTACCGGGCACGGTGGAGACACACCGTAAGGGACAGTCACTGCCCCAAGAAGCTTATAAGCTAAACAGACAAGACCAAGAGCTGGAGTGAGTGTGTGGAGCATCTTGGCTCACCCAGCAGGTCACTAGCAGAGCTGGTCACAGGACCCAAGTCTTTTGGCTTCCCATCCAGTCCCCAAGACCATGCCACCCACAGCACGCCTGCACACCCACCCCTGAAAAGCACCCCCCCTACACACACACAGCCCTTGAGACCCATAGGCCTCTCTAACAGGGCACCACATGGCCACAGGCCAGGAACCCTGCCCTGGGGCAAGAACACAAATGGCCTTGTGATTAAGGCAAGTTCCCAGCTCTGCCAGACTCTCTGTGTGATCTCAGGCAAGCCCCTTAATCTCGCTGAGCCTCCGTTCCCAATGCTGCCCTGCCCCCTGGCACGTGGGGAGGATACACGCACTAATGTCTGTGAAGCGCTCCGATACTCCGGTGACAGGGACCATAAATAGACAGACAGACACACACACACATCTGTGGATCATGTTCCCTACAGAGACTTTTGCTAATCACAGCTCAGACCTGGAAAAAAGCGAATGTTGTGCCAATATTTAAAAAGGGTAAACACGATGACCTGGGTAATTATAGTCCTGTCAGTCTGACATCGATCCTGGCCAAGACAGTGGAGCGGCTGATACGGGATTCAATTAATAAAGAATTAAAGCAGGGCAAGGTAATTCATACCAATCAACAGGGCTTTATGAAAAATAGATCCTGTCAAACTAACTTGATATCTGTTTTTGATGAGATTATAAGTTTGATAAAGATAATAATGTAGATGTAATATACTTAGACTTCTGTAAGGGGTTTCACTTGGTACCAAAGGACATTTTGATTAACAAGCTAGAATGATATAAAATTACCACGGCACACATTAAATGGATTAAAACTGGCTAACTGATAGGTCTCACAATGCAATTGTAAATGGGGAATCATTATTGAATGGGTCTGTTTCCAGTGGGGTCCTGCAGGGATCTGTTCTTGGCCCCAGGCTATTTAACCTTTTTATCAATGACCTGGAAGAAAACATAAAATCATCCTGATAAAGTTTGCAGCCACAGAAATTGGGGGAATGGTAAATAATGAAGAGGACAGATCACTGATACAGAGCAATCTGGATCACTCGGTAAACTGGGAGCAAGCGAACAATATACATTTTAAATTGGCTAAAGGTAAACGTGTACATCTGGGAACAAAGAAGGCAGGCCACACTTACAGGATGGGGAACTCTATCCTGGGAAGCAGTGACTGGAAAAGATTTGGGGGTTGTGGTGGATAATCAGCTGAACACACTGCGACACGGTGACCAAAAGAGCTAATGTGATCCCTGTATGTATAAACAGGGGAAACTCAAGTAGGAGCAGAGAGGTTATTTTACCTCTGCATTGGGCACTGGCGTGACTGCTACTGGAATCCTCTATCCAGGTCTGCTGTCCAAAATTCAAGAAAGATGTTGATAAATTGGAGAGAGGTCAGAGAAGAGACACAAGAATGATTAAAGGATTAGAAAACCTGCCTTATAGTGACAGATGCCAGGAGCTCAATCTATTTAGTTTAACAAAGGGAAAGTTAAAGGGTGAATTGATCACCGTCTATAAGTATTTGTCGAACAAAATATGTAATAATGGGCTCTTCAACCTAGGAGACAAAGGTAGAACATGATCCAGTGGCTGGAAGTTGAAGCTGGACAAATCCAGACTGGAAATAAGGCATACATTTAACAGTGAGAGTAATTAAACATTGGAACAACTTACCCAGGGCCGTGGTGGATTCTCCATCACTGACAATTTTTAAATCAAGAATGGACGTGTTTCTAAAAGTTCTGCACCAGGAATTACTCTGGGGCAGGTCTCTGGCCTGGGCTATACAAGAGGTCAGACTAGCCGATCACAATGCACCCTTCTGGCCTTGGAAGCTAGGAACCTGCCCCTCAGTGTACTCTTGCGTAACGAGCTCATCTGCAAGGCACTGCTGGCAGTCCGACCTGTGTGCAGACTCTGCACCCCACAGGGGCTCAGGCGGGCGGTGAGTGGCAGACACTGCAGCGTAGGCCTCTGGATACCCTGCTGTGTCTATTCTAGCCAACAGACTCTATTCCTAGGCCCACAAATGCGAGAAGCTACCCTCAAGCCTGTGGATGCCTTGTCAGGCTCAGCCGAGCACAGCCACAACACCTTTGTAACGCTTCAGGTTACACCTCCCCGTGCTCAGCTGAGCCTTGCACACATTCACCATGGGAGGCACGTGCTGCCCCAAAATCCCACCTACAGGCCTCTGGCCGCTGGGCTGTAAGAACTTGCAGTCAGGCCTGTGCTTGCCCTGCTGTGAGATTCTGCTGACACGTGAAAGGTGTGCGGTGCTTCACACAGCACTCCCTGCCCTGAGGCGCTTCCCAGCCGACAGAGGGAAAGGAACAAGACATGGGGTATGAGCTCAGCAGTGAGGGCTCTTCGTGGGCAAGGCCTGTGTCTTCATACACGTTCGCACAGCAGCCTGAATGCTGATCCTGACTGAGGCCTCTCCGGTCCTAGCCAAGGGCAAGTAAGTAACTAGAGGTGAGGAGGAAACGGCAGAACGGTTTGGAGGGGGACAGAGAAGCCCGTGGCAGGCAGGAATCTATTCCAGGCTGTAAGGGCTTGGAGCTGGCTCTGTCATTTTAATAAGGGTTTGCCCCACGCCCAGCACCAGGAGGGCCTGATCTAAGCCAGAGGCTTACTTAGGACTTACTACAATCAGTAACAGACAATGACAACGCCCCACGTGTGGGGCAGTGCGCAAGCAGGTGTCAAGCCCACTGTGGCGAAGGAGAGGACTGGGAGGAGCAGGGAGGCAAAGAGTGAGAGTCTCCCCCCAAGCTGCGTGTGCCCGGCCATCTCACACGTGCCCGGCGTGTATCAAATCACCCAGAATCCTAATGTAGCTGCCAAAACAGAAGGGCGCAGCAAGCACTCACCTGTCCATAACTCCGCCTGAGTCTCCGCTCCGTCCCCGGTTGGGTGCCAAGGAATCCAGTTCATCAAAGAAGATAATGCAGGGGGCAGCTGCCCGGGCTCTGGCAAACACTGGGAGGAAAGACACACGCAGAGCATGGGCACCCGAGAAAGGCTACACAGAGAGAACTGGCACAGTGGGGAGCCCCCATCCAGCAAGCAGCCCAGAGTGGGAGGAAAAGAGAGTTACCTTTTCCGTAACTGGTGTTCTTCGAGATGTGTTGCTCACGTCCATTCAAAGGGGCACCGGAGCTGGTCCCCTATGGATACTGCTGAGGGAGAAACTTCCGGCACTGGTGCATGTGGCAAGCACACACACGTAAGCTGGATGGACATGAGCAATCAGTCGAAGAACCACCATTACACCAGAAAATGGCTGGATCCTGCTTTGCAGACACACACTCCTCAGCCCAGAGCTCTGCCAGCTCTCCTGGGATGTGACAGAACATGCCCACAGCTGTTTGGGCAGGAGGCTGCTTGGCAGACAGGAACAGGGCATCTACTCCAGGCACTGGGGTGCACGCGGCAAGTCAGAAAGCACAAAGAGAAGAGGGCGGCTATGCAGGCGGCACCCTGGGACTGCTACCCACCATTATTGTTATTTATTAGGTGTATTGCGGTAGCGTCTAGCAGCCCATCATGGACCAGGGCCACACTGCGCTAGGTGCTGTACAAACACAGGACAAAGAGACAGCCCCTGCCCCAAGGCGCTTACAGTCCAAGTATAAGACAGAAGACAAGAGACGGAGACAGACAGGGGCGTTCAAGGGAACAATGAGGCACGATTGTGTAAATAGACCACACAGACACGGGGGGGGAGGGGAAGGGGAGCGGTAGCACCCACAGGCAGAGAGACCAATGGGATGGCAGCAGATGGCACATTAGCGCCATGATTTTTTGTTCTTTTCTCTTTTTTTGGTGTGTTTAGTTAGCAGGGGATCAGTTAAACGGAAAGAAACGGGAGGGGGCGAGGGCCAGGGAGGAGGAGCAGTGTGGAGTGAAGCCGTGCCCCAGCCCTCCAGCACAGGGTGGAGAGAGTCAGAGAAATCGCAGCCCTTTTGCCTAGACCGTACAGAGGACCCTGCTTTGTCTGCTCCTGTCCCCACTGGCTGGAGTCACTAGCTGGCTCCTGGGGGGAAAGGAGGCACCATCTGTCTGCTAATGGCCCCACAGTGGGGGGGGGGTCTCTACAGCAAAAAGGCTCCTTTCACCACTCCCTCGGCCATCCCCGTTTGTCCGTTTCATCCGTTGGGTCTTATCATAGAGCCAGTCTGTGAGCTCTGCAGCAGCAACTGGCTTCCTGTGACATGTCTGGACACACTCGGACACTGGGGCCCTGAGCCTTGTCTGCGGCCCCTGGGGACTGCCACAACACAAAGAGCAGCGATAACGGAGAGGGGCCTGGGAAGAGCATGGAGCACAGCTGGGTGTGCTTACAGAGGTGTGACAATCAGGGTCCAGACACCCCACGGGGAGAACAGCAGGTCTGAACCCCCCAGAATGAGCAAGTGAAGCAACCGTTCGTATACGACGTGACTGTATAAAATATGGCAAGTCAGGTCTTTTTTGAAACCTTGTAATGTGCATAACTTGCTGGTCATTATGAGATATGGAGGCAGATGGTGGTTATGAATCTATGTCTTTAAGTGTATAAGAACTGTGCTCAAAACCTGTACTACAATTTCAAATACACCTCACAGCCGGGAGGGGTGCTGTCCAGGAAATGCTGGATCCCCTCTATGATGGGGGTACACATGGGAACTGTTCAGGAAATACCTTATCTTAGAAAAGGGAATTGAGCGAATATAGAAGTGTGAAACTTGCCGTGGCCTTTTTATGTTTATTTTCTGTGTGTCTGGCGTGTTTTTGCTTTCCCTATTTCACCTTCGAATCGGGGGCTTTCCCATTAAATCAACCTTGTTTATTTTTAGCCCACGCAGGTCTCTGGTGCGCAAACAGCATGGAATGTGCGTGCCAAAGTGAGCTGATAACTGGGGGCAGGTTTCACTCCTTCAGGGGTGACAAACCAGAGGGGGAAAGTCCGAGTGTCTAGTAGTTAAGAACTTGGGGGAGAGGGACTTCGGGAGACGGGACCAGAAGGGTTGTTGGGGTCACCCTGCCAGGAATAACGAGGCTGGTGGGATCTCAGGTGAGACCTTTGTGCTTGTGGGCTGGCTCCTGGTGTCCCCAGCATCACAGGGCAGGCGGCGACAGGACCCCTCCTTGGTCGGGGTGAGCCCCAAACATGCAGGAGAGCTCTGCAAGGGATGCTGTGATAATTGGGCCTACAAATTTACCTTATTGTGAGCTCAACTTGAAGTGAGTAAAAATTCAGAGCATGATGATAACCTATAACAGTCAATATTGATGGGAAAAGGTGCCAAAAGGAGACAGAAAGAACACAAAGTCCTACTGATATAATTCAAGGACTGTGTTCAGATCATGCCAGGTAAACAAGAGAAGTGTGGGACCCGCAATTGATTGGTGTGTTGGAAGTCTCTGGACACAAGCCAAAATTGGTGTGTTGGAAGTGAGACCCGATAAGTGGACAAAATGATGTGGGAGGGCTACTCCCTTTCGGGGGGCCTTAAAAAGAGACTTGGGGTGAAAATTAGCAGAGGCGAAGCAAACTCAACAAGTGCTGATCGAAAATAAAGCAGCATTTGTCTGCCAACAGCTGCTCCAGAGAGCTTCACCATCATGATTGCCATCCCAGACTGTCTCCTGGGACTCCAGCATCCAGCAGGACACCATGGTGCCGCCTTCATCCTAATCCTGAGAGCTGTCCTGATCGGACCAGGCTAGAGAGAGGGCGCCAGATGACATCACCATCTCCACCGGCTCTGACTAGATCTCAAACACCACCTGGGATGTGAGACTGTCAACTCCCCTCCCTCCCCCGTGTGTTCTTTTCCTTCCCCACCTTATTCCTTCTCTTTCCGATCTCTCTCCTTTGCCTTCTGCCTAAGGAGCGTCTGGCTTAGTTGGCCAAGACTGCATATTTTGCAACACTTCAGCAAGCCTGTGACCAGAAAGAGGCAGCTAAAAGCAATGCCCTAAACAGCGCAACGCTGATCAGACCAGGTGCTGGGCCTGAGTTTTTCCAGCAGCGAGGTTGCAAGTAAGAGTTAGCACCAGAGACAGAAGCTGCATTTTCTATATTTGCTGCTCTTTTCCCTCCCCTCTTGGGTGTGTGTCTTGTTTTTCCTTTTCAGAAACGGGATCAGACTTTAACCATTACAGCGCCAGTGCATCTCAGCGAACTGGTTCTGTTTTCCCCAAGGAGGACAGTGAGACGGCCAAACAAGGGAGACAATCTCTCTCCAGCCAAAGGGAAAGGGAACAAGGGACGTCGTTAAAACGAGAGCCTGACTTAATACTTGACATTTCAAATGCTTGAATGTTTTCCCGTCCTTTCTGTCTCTTTACTAGATGGTCATAAGGCTGTTTGATGGTGTGGTTTGCCATGGCTCTAAGCAGGCTGAGGTCTCTTTATGCCAAAGCCCGGACCTTGTTTAGTGCGGTTTAACGCTGGACAGTTTCAGGGTCACGTTAGCACCTTTGACTGGGTCCATTTAGTCCATGTGAATTAATACAGCAGGGACATCAGGCAGCTGGAAGCAGGAGCAGGCACGGAGCCAATGGAGGCACTCAAGGAAGAGATGTGATGACTGCAGTGGCAGATTAGAGGAGAGGTAAGGAGCAGGGAGGCCCAGACAAGAGCCATTATGGACATCAAGGCTAGAGATGGCCAAGGTATGGAGAGCTGGGACAATGGAGAGAGAGCAGACGGGAAGAGAGGGAGAAGTGGGCTGTCACACAGAGGATTTAGTAAACTTGATGCAGGTGGGACGAGGGATGCTGAGCCAGTTGGCCCAGGACACAGGTCAGATTGGTCCGCTGTCCCCAGCAGCCTCGCTGTGGGCAGAAGTTTGTTGGACGAGCAATAGGGCCAAATTCTATCCCCTTCCTCCTACACCAAGGAGGAGAAGCAGGCTCCCGGAGCGCACAGCCGTCCTGCCAGCCACGTTCACAGCCACGAGCCGAGCCCGCCACTCACCTTCACGCACATTCCCTTCACTCTGCCCCACGTACATGTTAATGAGCTCCGGCCCTTTCACACTGCAAGGGAGAGAGCAGGGACCCAGTTATACTGGCCCTGGGCAAAGGAGCCCCGGCCACACAGCACAGGACCAGCACCCCACCCCGGGAAAGGCCAACCCCTCCTCACCTGAGGAAAGTCATGGTGCACTCAGTGGCCACAGCTTTGGCAAGCAAGGTCTTTCCTGTCCCAGGAGGCCCGTAGAGCAGAAGGCCAGAGCGGCGCAGCCCCACGGACAGCAGCTCCGGGTGCTCCAGAGGCAGCTGGATGGTGTCCAGGATGTCCTTCTTCGCCTCCTGGAGCCCACCGATATCCTGCCAGGTGACCGCGGGGATCTGCAGCGAGACCGACAGCCCAGTCACCCGCTTCATCCCCAGACCAGAGCCAGCTTGCTCCAGACCCCAGCTCCAGGACTCTGGTTGGCAGCTGTGCGAATAGGGCATACTGACACCCCCACGTCACGTGCTCCCTGCCTGGTGTGCATGGTGTACATCCTTGATCTGATTGCACCCCCTTCTCTCACCCCCTCACCGCCCCCAAACTCCAGCCCATCACCTCGGACTCCTCCACAGCTCTCAGCCCCCCCTGCACTGCCTCAAAGGTCACACCACCCTCCGCTCCATGCCCTCCTTCACACGGCACGCCTCTCCCTGCTGCTCTACCCTGTCCTTGAAAACCCAGCCTCCCCCACCAGCCCCATGGCCAAACCCTGGCCTGTGCTCACCCTGCTGCCTGGACCAGGTCACCCATTCTTCAGACCCTTTCACTGGCTTCTCTTGCCTTCCACATTGGATTCATGCCCCTGACCCTGCCTCGCCCCCCGACTCCCTCTTTCATTCCACCCAGACTCCCTCCTCCCAGAGCCGTGCCCTGCCCCCGCTTCCCAGGTGGCCACTTCCACCTGGAACTCCCGCCCTCTCCCAGCTCAAATCCCAGCTGAAAACTGAAGTCTCCTAAGGAGGAAATGATGGCTGTGTACGAGCTGCTGCTTGAGACGCCCCCTCCCCGGGGCGCTGGGTGTCTGAATAGCAAGCTCCCAGAGCCAGGGGCCGTTCTGTGCAGTGCCAAGCACGCTGCCTGCTTTCCAGACACACAGCTGGAACAGTAACTGGAGGGAGAGACCTTTGCTGATGGGACCAAAATGTTGCAGGTGCTCAGAGAGCCATCCGCATGACAAACACATCGATAGTGGGTCACGGACTATTCCCATCATTGTCTGCAGTGTCCTTGTAGCTGCCTTGGTCCCAGGACATTAGAGAGACAAGGTGGGGGAAGGAATCTCTTCTATTGGACCAACTTCTGTCAGTGAGAGAGACAAGCTTTGCTCTTGTTCTGGTCTGGGAAACTAACTCAGAGTGTCACTGCTAAATTCAAGGTGGATCCGATTGTTTAGAATAAGCGGTTAACACAAATTTCAAGAGACCATTCAAGGTGAAGTGGCCTGTTAACACTCCTCCAGTCATTGGCCAGAAGTAGTGGGTTACAGATCGTTGTAATAAGCCGTAAGTCAGGGTGGGCAAACTTGTTGGCCTGAGGGCCGCATCGGGTTTCTGAAATTGTATGGAGGGACTGTTAGGGGAGGCTATGCCTCCCCAAACAGCCACGCATGGCCCGTCCCCCCCCCCCCCCCCCCCCCCCCCTCCTCCCCCCCCCCCCCCCCGGACCCCCCCCCCCTGCCTGCCCCCCGCCGCCCATCCAACCCCTCCTCTCCTTCTTGATTCCCCCCCCCCGCCCCCGGGACCCCTGCCCCCATTCAGCCCCCCTGTTCCCCGCCCTCTGACTGCCCCGATCCCTATCCACACCACCGCCCTCTGACCACCACCCCGAACGACCCTGCCCTCTATCCAACCCTCCCTGCCCCCTTACCGCGCTGCCTGGAGCACCGGTGGCTGGCGGCGCTACAGCCGTGCCGCCCGGCTGGAGCCAGCCATTCACCGCGCAGCACAGAGCACCGAGTCAGGCCCAGGCTCTGCAGCTGTGCTGCCCCAGGAGCTCGCTGCCCAGAGCACTGCACGAGGCAGTGGGGGAGGGGGAACAGCAGGGGAGGGGCCGGGGGCTAGCCCCCTCGGGCCAGGAGGTCAGGGGCTGGGCTGGAGGGGCCCATGGGCCAGATGTGGCCCGTGGGCCGTAGTTTGCCCACCTCTACCATAAGTCCAGTGTCTCTGCTCAGTCCATGGTTTTTAGTGTCTAGCTCCCAGGCCCCTCTTCAGAAGTGTTGTGCAGGTTTCCTTTGAGGATGAGGACTGAGAGGTCGGGTAGAGAGAGATCCCTCTGTGAAAAGTGTTCACCCACCGGGGATAGGGTGTTTTTGTCATTTTCCTGCGTGAGTTCATTCGAGAGCGGACACTCTGGGCAGTCCTGGAGTGGAAATCCCAGCCTGGCACCCAGCCTGCTGGTCTCTGAGTGGGGAGTGCAGTGCGGGAGAGACCCCCGCGTGGCTGTTGCTAATCAGGGCTCCGCGAGTGACCATCAGGTGCCTATCTACTGCAGCGTGGCTTTATGTCCCGAGGGATGGGGTGAGGGCCATTCAAACTGACCTGGCAAGCTGCACAGATACCAGAGCCTTGTATCTTTCCCCTCTGCTCAGTGGTTCATACCTTTGGGGCTCCAACTGCCTGCGAATGAGTCTCATGCAGCTGATCCAACGCAACATTCAAATCCTCCGCGAGAACAGGGAACCCAGCAGCACAAAAATCTCTCTCCTCGTCCTCACTCAGCCCCCCTGGGAAACTGGCACAGAGAAGGGGAAAAGTCTACGTCTGTTCTCTTCACACGCTCAATTCACCACAAACAACACCTCTCCCCCTGCGCTGTCCCCACGACCCCTGCCCCTTCCTGCTAGTCCCTGCACGGTCCTCACTGCCCCAGACCTGGCACTGTCTCAGCCTCGCTCCTGCTAGTCACTGCATCTCCCTCACTGCGCTGTCTCAACCATGGCCACAATCACTGCACCAGTGTCACTGCACATAGTCACTGCACCTCCCTCGCTGCACTTTGTCCCCACCGCCACATAGTCTTTGCCACGTCTCCACCACGGGTTTGTCTTGATCACAGCCACATTCTCTGCACGTGCTCTCACCTCCCATAGGAAAGAGGATGCAACATGGTTATCTTTCCACCAGCGGAAATGGAGCTTTTCATTCCCAATGATTAATGTTCTGGATACAAGCAGGCACGCTGCAAATTCACAGATGATCACTCACAGGCCCATCTACTTACCTTGAGGTTAAGATCCTGGTGCAAGCTGCCCGGCCGCCTTGGGCCAGCAAAGCGCAGAAATCTCCCAGCACAAACCCCTGTGAACATAGAAACAAAACCCGTGTCCAATAGTGAAGAGCATCAGTGCCACTGTGCACACTGGAACCAAGGTCAGCTTCCTTTTCCAACAGGGAGGCTGGAGGTACCTGCGCAGATGCGTGCGCGCACCTGGGTGCTTAGCCTGGCATAGGTAATCACCCCATTTCCACACCCAACAAGCCAGGCGAGCACACAGCAGTAACCGCAAAGGCAAGTGTGGGTGCAGAATTCTGCACGCCTGTCTACAAACACCCCCTCTGAAAGTTCGCCCCAGTGAGATTTAATGCAAAAAAATCTAAATGACTGCAACACTGAAGCTGTCCGGTTAAAAACCACTAACATTAACGCCAGGCCAAGGACAGTCAGGCTCCAGGAGCAACACAAACCCAGCCATGCTGCACAGCCTGCATGCTACACACACAGCCTGCTCCCACGATGCAGCCCCCCAACCCACAAGCCAGTACATGGGGTGGGGCCTGCCTCCTCCCCAACTGTCCTCACCCGTGCGAGCGATTTGTTGCCTGCCGGGGGGACTCTATCGAGGCTCCCCGAGGACCATCACCTATGTCCGTTTTCAAGGCTCAAGCTGCCGTCATTTCTGCAGCGCGGTGACTGATGGACTAGTCAGAGGAGCTCAGAACAGCCTCCTCTGCCTAGTCACGTGCCAGGGCCACCCTCCCCCCGTGCCACAGGCAGGCTGCACTCACCGCACTTCTCCGCGCTAGTTTGGCCAGGCTCACTTCCTTGCCCAATGGAAGGCTGGCAGTGAGCGTGCTCAGCATGGCCTTCCGCTGCTCTTCTGACGGGGCCTGGACCGTCACCTCGTGGAGGAAAGCTGTCTGCACGTCTGCCAGGACGTCCTGAGGCCGGCACGTGGTGGCAACCACCAGAACAGGGTAACCGCTGAGACACAAACACACCAGAGAAACAAGAGCCGTCAGGCACACAGCAGAGAACCTGCAAACAACAGCCACCATCCTCACACAAAGCTCCTCTGCCACGCACGGGCATGTTTGCATGTCAGCACAATCTGCTACAAGAGGTGCCTCGTTGTGCCAGGCAGAGCTGCAGTTCTGAATACAGCTTGGGAGACTACTTCTACTCCACCTGCCCAAGTCAACCCTACACCACTCTGCCCCCAGGCGCCTCCAAGGTCCCCCCACAAGCCACAGGGACCCCCACCAGTGACATCACATCTTCCCTCCCCGCCCTCTGTCCTTGTGCCATGCCCCACAGCTCCTGTTATCTGCCGTCAATCTCACAAGTGTCCCATTGCTCCAGCTTTCCATCAGATCCTGCAGCTCTGGCTTTGCCTCACCCCTGATACGCTAAATCTGCTTTAATGTCTCATCGGAGCCAACCCAGGGAACTAAAACAAGATCCTCTCGGCCCCGGAGGCCAAATCTTCTAATTCCCCACACGTCAGGGCTGCTCCGCTGGCAAACCCTGGAGGCTTTTTGAAATAAACTGAGCAAGCCTGGGAAATTACCCCAAAGCCCAGTGGGATGTTCTGGAAGCTAGTGCCTAGACACTGCAGTGGTTGTTGCCCAGGGAGTCCCGAGGCAGAGAGGGGAAGGGCCTCAGGTGCAAGCTGGCAGTGTCCAGGGAGGGTCCATACCTAGATCCCGTATCTCTGTCCAGGAGGAGGTGCCTTAGTGTAGCAGTGACTCTGGAGTCCTCTCCCAGCCCGTCCCGGTCTCGTCCCAGCAGCTCGATGTCCTTCAGCAGGAGCACACACGGCCGGAAGAGCTCAGCCTGCGCAAAGGCAGATTGCAGCTTCATCTCCGTAGCTCCACTAGTGTCGCCACACAAACTAACGCAGTCCACCTGCAGGAAACCAACCGAGAACACAGAGATTGTAGGGGGCTGCTCTGCTGAGGCGAGGGGGCAGACCCTGCAGGGAGGAACAAAGGAGCAAACATGAGTTCTCCATAAGAAATTCACAGCGAGGAGCTGACAGAGCTGGATGCTGGCAGGGTAAGTCCAGGGCCAGCACCAGAGAGAAGAGGCAGCGCCTGGGACACAGAACGGCCACTGAGGCCAAGGCAGAAGGTGTGCGAAGGGGGTGCACACAAATCACAGATGGGAGAGCTGTGGGGGAGGCCCAGGAGGGTGGAGGAACGTGGCAGCTGGGAGAGGCAGTACGAAGAGCAGAGGGAAAGGTATCTGGAGCCATTTGGCCAACACACCCACAACAGGTCTGGGGAAAGGAGAAGGAGCAGGCAGAAAAGACGAGAGGTGGACAGAGGCCCAGCCACTGACCAAACGGCAAACACTGAAAGGAGCCACCAGGGAGGGAGAGGAAACCAGTGACCTCGGTGGGTGACTCTGTAAGGTCTGAGGCCTTTTTCTGCAGCAAGCAGCAGCAGCCAGATTAGGGCAGCAGCAGCCAGGAGCGAAGCAGCATCCTCACATTCCATCTAAATTGCATCAAAACAATGTAATATCGGGCTGCTACGAAGGCTCCTGTCCTAATAGCACCCACCACCACCAGATAAAGAAACAGGTGTTAAGATGGTTAAAGAAAACTTAGTTTGACAGCGTCCTGTCTGACAAGGAATCACTTATCAACAGCTGTGATTGTGAAATCTCTACTTCTATTGTTTGGCCTTTACGGTCCCCACTTCTCTATGGTTTATCTGTAGGGTCGGTCTCGTTCTTTTATTGTTTCTGTTTGTTGCGTAACTAAATTTTTACAATATTTAAATCAACTAAGATGATGGGATGTGATTGGTTAAAGAATTGTTTTGTAATGGACTAGGATTGGGGGGAAATACTGGTTTGTAGGACTTTAGTTTACAATGACTGGTGAAGGTAGAGCTAAGCAGGACCCGAGTTTCACTCATTGTATAAACTGGGGTCCAAAAGGAACTCCAGGACACAGCTCCAAGATCAGAGCTGCCAGACCTCAACACGCTGCCAACCACACTGCGCAGAAGCTGGAGGAGCCCAGGATGACCTGATCCTGACTGGCCACCAGGAAAGGTTCATCTGCCGTATTGGCAGTGGTGCGCATTGTATGCTTAGCGTGTGTGTTCTGTCTGGTAACTGTTAATAAATAGAGGTTAAGGATATTACTGTGTAAGGCTCGTTCACTGGTAAAAGGCCCCGCAAACCCGCAGAAGATTACGCCCTGAGCCCTAAGAACTGGGTAAGAGTGGCCCTGAGCCCTAGGAACTAGGAAAGGGTGGGGGTGTCTAAATTAACCGGGTTATGCCCTGAGCCCACGGAAGGGTAAAGGTGGGTGCCCTAGAGTGTGCGGGTAACAATTCCACAGTGGGAAACGCAGCTTGAAGGTGCCAAGAGAAAAGGTTTGCAAGAAGGACCCAGCATGCCCTGAAGAACACTGGAAATTTCCACTAACTCTATTCACATAGGAACAAACGGTGTAAGTGAAGGAAATTCAACAGATCACCTGGGACCTGGGAAAAAGCTGAAGATGGAGGTTGATGCAGGCGATCCTCTCAGACGTCCTTCCCATGTCACGTGTGAGTGGAGTCCAGCTGTTGGTGTTGGGAGCAGGGGGTCCAATTCATGGAGCATCAGAAGAAACTCAACAGATCAGGCAGTCTCCACTTACAGAGACGGGGCTACACAAGTCTGGGGTCAGAGCTAACAGGCTGCAGTTCTGAGTGCTGGGCAGGCTTCCAGAGGGGAGGGGGGGGCTTCCATTTAACACAAGTAACCTGGGATGTATTTCCCATTTAAAGAGAAAATGGAGCTGTTCTGCAAGAGAAGAGGCAGACCAGGTGTGGGGGTGGCAGAGAACAGAAATGCACTACGGACCATGGAGGAGAAGTTATTATTGCTAAATTATGGTGATTACGGCCAAGTGGGTGTAACTGAATCCCACTGGGATGGCTCAGAACTGGAGTGTCGGTGTAAAGGGGTGCATATTCTCTCTAGGAGAGAGAAGGGAGGAAAGGGGGGGGGTAACTAAGCCGGTTTTGTACAATGGGGCAGTGTAGGAGGTGCTGGTGAAAACCTGGGTGACGAAGAGAGAGATCAAACCCTCCCTGCACCAGCTATCTATGAAGGTGGAGTACTCCCGCAGCCTGGGGTTATGAATGTATGTTTGTGTATATCGAAAACTGTACTCAAATTGTGGTACGACTTCAGCATCACCTCACAACAGGGCGGTGAAGCAGACAGCAGGACGGGCTACCATCCCAACCAGGGGAGACTAGCTTTGAGTAAGCAGCCATTGTCCATGCCAGGAAAAAACAACAAGGAACCATCAAAACGATGGGAACAGCTTGAAACTGAAAAGAAAACTCCAGTCTTCGAAAACTAAGGAAGGAGGGAGTTTTCCCCATTTTGAGTATCTATTGTGACTGAAGAAAAAACTGTAACCCCATTTAAAATGGAAGGGATTTGAACTTAAGTTTACCCAGAAGTAGCAGATGGAGGCAGAGAGAGAGAGATTAATAAAATGTTCAGGCACCTAGAGTTTGGAGCAGGAGCTTTTACTAATATAAAATCAAACACAGATTTTGGTGGCATACCAAACTCAGCCAAATTATAATGGAAACTTTGTTGCAATCTCCGTTCCGGAGAGGAAGCCGGGTGAGGGAGATGTGCACACATCCATGGAGTGGGGGGTAGGGCACCAAGGAAACCAGCTGCACAGGAAATAGAGAGACGGGAGAGAACATGGGGTGGAGTTGCTAGGACCAAGTGCAGAGGAGACAGCCTCTGGGGGAGAGGAAGTGGCTCTTTGGTGTTATTTCACTTGCTTATTCGTAGCTCAGCGCCTGTGTTGGAGAAAACTCCTGGAATTCTCTACACGTGGTAAGTCCCCCAACCAACTGATCCCCAACATGCAACTCAACTAAAAGAATTACCTTGAACAAGTGGAGATTGAGGCAGCTACATGCTGCTCTGACAGCCGTCAGTTTCCCCCCACCACTGGGTCCCGCCAGTAGAATGCTGCCTGTTCCACGTAGCGCGGTCCCCCTGGAACACAAAGGAACCTATCCTCGTCACCACAGAGCGTGTGGGCCCCCGCTCACTCACTGGCACGTTATTACCGCTGCAGTCAGACTCCAGCACCAGAGAGACTCTGCGCCAAACCCCAGCACCTCTGCAAGCAAAGACCCCTCAGAAACCATGGGATCCAAACACCTGCAGCTCTTGCCACAGACAACCAGTGTCCTGGGTAATGCCGCGGAGCGAAAACCAACCCACAACACAAAACAGCCCCACGCTGAGGAGCCCCTCCTCATAGCAGATGGAACGCCCCAGTACAAGGGAGCTGTATCAGTGTGAGCTTACCTGCTGTTCAGATGAGGCCGGAGAGCATCACAGAGCTGCTTCACCACATCAGAGAGCCCGGCGGGAGACAGACTGCTCCAAAACCCATGGCCACCACGGCTTGGGGAAGATGGCACAGCGCTGTTTGTTGAACCCACCTGCAAGGCAGGAAATAACGCTTTCCAACCACACCTCAGAAGGGATGTCTTCTCAAGTCACCCAGCATCCCCTAAAGCAGCGGTTCTCACGCTTCATTGCACCGCGACCCCCTTCTGACAACAAAAATTACTGCCCGACCCCAGGAGGGGGGGGCCGAAGCCTGAGCCTGCCGAAGCCCCGCCACCCCGGGTCGGGGGGCCAAAGCCAAAGTCCAAGGGCTTCAGTCCCAGCTAGGGGGCCTGTACCCTGAGCCCCGTTGCCCTGGGCAGAGGGGCTCGGGCTTCAGCTTCAGTCCTGGGCCCCAGCAAATCTAACGTCCAGTCCTGGCAACCCCACTAAAACAGGGTCCTGACCCACTTTGGGGTCCTGACCCACAGTTTGAGAACTGCTTCCCTGAAGCACCTATCTGGGGAGTAGAGCCATGAACCTCTTCCATGGCCATTCAGTGTTCCTACATCATCCTGGCTGTGCGATCTTAGCCTCACACATCTCCTATGCACCCTCCTCGGCCTCCCGCTGACACCTTACCAGGTACAGCGACGTGTTCTGGATGTCAGCCAGGTACCCCACAGACTGCTCTCCTTCCACCACGCCTACAATCTTCTTCACCTTGAAGTACAGCTCCGGCCAGCTACAGGAAGAGAAGCCGCCTGAATCCCAGCAGCCGAGGCCTCGGAAGCAAGATGAGCTTTTCCTCACCGGGAGGCAATTGGGGCCTCTAGGCCCCCTGGTTACACACATCATAAACCAGAACAGGCGGGGGCACAACACTGCTCCCCCCCCCCCCCCCCCAGCTGGCAGACAGCGGGAAAGTATCTGTCCGTAAGTGTTCTGTATTATTTGAGCATTTTGCACATTCTGTTGCTTAATAATCCCGCTGTCGACATGGGGGTTAGGTCGGTAAAACTACATTGCTGCGGGGTGTGGATATTTCACACCCCTGAGCGACACAGTTATACCGATACAGGTCTGCAGTGTAGACCAGACCTGAGAAACAAGTCTGCTCCGAGAATATGTATCCTTTGCATAAAAATACCCCACCTAAGACTTGTTTTGTTTTGTCCACATTTAAAAAAAAAGTGTCTTGGCTGGTCTGAAAAGCACTCGACTGCACACACACAAACCATCAACTGTATCTGTAGTCAGAACCACCCCCTCTGCACAGAACTGTGTACGTGCTAAGGCAGTGGTAACCCAGGCACTCTCGACAGAGAGCGTGATGAACAAGATGATGACGATGTCGTCACCAACACTATTACATTTCAATCATATCGGTACACATTTATTACTAGATTTTGTTTTACTGGTTAGATAGTTGTTGTGATGCTTTGAGGTAAAAAAAAATCCACTTTTATGTCTTGCAATAATATACAGAGTCACTAAACTAACAGAAACTAATGCAAATATTTCCAAGTGGTCATTTTAACGTTTTGATGATGGCATTGTTTATCCCTGTTTCTATGGCAACGGAACCACTTGAGCGCTTCATATCAGACTTCATCTTAAAGTGACACAATAAAGCTTTCGAATGAGGTATGATGCGCATATGTATAGAGAGGATACGTTTAGTCAACCAAATTGGTGGTATCTGCCACTCACTATATAAATTAAACCCCCCAAAAGACCCTCTTGCACCAGAAGAAGACTATCCACATGGGGAAATATACCAGTGTAACTCCAGAGGTTTAAATTCACACCTTAGTTTATACCATTATAATATTCCCACTTAGACAAGCCCAAACATCGACTTCTATCTGCTTTTCTGTCACTTAACAGCTGCAGTGCACTCCTCCCTCTCCTTCGCTTCTCTCCCTCTTGCAGCCTCTTTTCCCCACCAGTTGCTCTCAGAGGGCCGCTTTGCTGAATTGATGTGTAACCGTATACCCACCTAAAATCCAACACAAACTTTTAATCCAAAAACCCCAACAACAGACCAACTCTGAGCTCCAGGGACAGATCAGAAAAGACTCTATCACCTGGCTTCAACTGAGCCAGAAGGGAAAAGCAGTTCTTTAACAGCTGCCTGAAAAGGCATAGGGAGATCCCTGCATACCTAAGAAATTTCTCTGAATTTCCTTCCAAGAACTCAGGATGTCCAGCTGTCGGAATACACAGGATATCACCCGCCTGGACCAACCTGCAACAAAGCAACAGCCACGGTGAATGATCAACTGTCTTAGGTTGTGCAGTCCTCCACATCTTCAGAATATTAAACCAGTGAGAAACAGTAAATCAACCCATCAGCAGCGCTATCTTTATCTGAGCAGGAGGGGGAAAAGCCATTCAACCCCATCAAGTGTGTCTCTCTACTCTAAAAAACTCAGACAACTGGCTTAAAACACCAGATTTAGCACTCCCAGGTTCCTGAGGGGACGCATCTGGACTCCTGTATGGGGAATGCAGCTTTACCATGTTTGAAGAATTTGGTGTGGAAATAGAGATATTGTTGGTATTTTAAGAACAGGTTAGATAAACATACATCAGGGATGATCTAGGTAAACTTAGCAGGGGGCTGGACGAGATGACCTCCCGAGGTCCTTCCAGCCTGACATTTCTATGATTCTCTTTTTTTTCTATTCAGCATCATAGGGTTGCACAGCACCTTACAGACAAAGTGAGAGCTCCTGCCCTCCTGAATTTACAGTCTAACGTAGACATCCTATAAGACATCCTATAAGGGTATGATGACAAAGTTAGGGATCAGGGTGGGGGGAGGGAAGTGTTACATGAGAGAGAGCATGAGAGATCATGAGAGCTAGTAAACAGGAGCAGCAAACAGGGAAGTGATGTAAGGGAATTCTCCAGATGCAGAGAGAGACTACCGGGACCTGTAATGGTCAACATATTCATATATGATGTGGAAAAGGGAGTGAATAGTGAGGGTGGCAAAATCTGCAGATGATACAAATTACTGAAGATAGTTAAGTCCAAAGCTGGTTGTGAAGAGTTACAAAGGGATCTCACTAAACTGGGTGACTGGGCAACAAAATAGCAGATGAAATTCAATGTTGATAAGTGAAAAGTAATGCACATTGGAAAACATAATCCCAACTATACATATAAAATGATGGGTCTAAATTAGCTGTTCCCACTCAAGAAAGAGAGCTTGGAGTCATTGTGGATAGTTCTCTGAAAAGATCCACTCAATGTGCTGCGGCAGTCAAAAACACAACATTAGACACCAATAAGGGATAAATAATAAGACAGAAAATATCATAATGCCACTATACAAATCCATGGTACGTCCATAGCTTGAATACTGCATGCAGTGCTAGTCATCCCATCTCATAAAAGATATATTAGAATTGGAAAAGGTTCAGAGAAGGGCAACAAAACTGATCCAGGGTATAGAACAGGGTCCATATGAGGAGAGATTACAGAGGCTGGGATTGTTCAGTCTTAGAAAAGAGACAACTAAGGGGGGATATGTTAGAGGTCTATAAAATCATGACTGGGGTGGAGAAAGTGAATAGAGAAGCATTATTTACCCTTTTGGATAACACAAGAACCAGAGGTCATGTGATTAAATTAACAGGCAGCAGGTTTAAAATAAACATAAGGAAGTACTTTTTCATACAATGCACAGTCAACTTGTGGAACTTGTTGCCATAGGATGCTGTGAAGGCCAAAAGTATAACCAGGTTCAAAAAAGAATTCATGGCGGACAGGTCCATCAATGGCTATTAGTTAAAATGGTCAGGGACATAACCCCATGGTCTGGGTATCCCTAAACCTCTGACTGCCAGAAGCTCGGACTGGCCAAGAAGGGAGGAATCACTCTATAATTGCCCTGTTCTATTCATTCCATCCAAAGCATCTGGCACTGGCCACAGTCAGAAGACAGAATATTGGGCTAGATGGACTACTGGTCTGACCCAGCATGGCCGTTCTTATAACAAACAGTTACTCATCGGATTTTTTTTAAATTAAGTTTAATACTGGTTTTACAAACAGTGCCCAGAATGAAGATGTTTGGAAAGGGCCAGCCGCGGAAGTTTCTATCTTCAAAGGACATGGAGAACAATCGATCACTGTCCTCTGTATAGCAGCCCGTAGCATATTTGAAGACTGTTATCAGGTTCGCATTCAGCCTTCTTTTCTCAAGACCAGACATGCCCAGTTTTTTTTAAACCTTTCTTCATATCATTTTTGTTGCTCTCCTCTGGACTCTCCGCAGTATATCCACATCTTTCCTAAAGCGTGGCGCCCAGAACTGGACACAGGACTCCAGCTACGGCCTCACCAGTGCCGAGCAGAGCGGGACAATGACCTCCCATGTGTTACAGACAACACTCCAGCAGAAAGGAGTACTGAGGAATGATTTGAAGGAGGAGATTGAGGAAGCTTAGCACAAGGTCGGGGGATATCCCAGGGGGAGGAAGTAGGGTGGATCGATAGTGGAAAACAGTTCTCAGTATGTGCCCTAGACTACTTTGCTGAGTTAAGCAGGCCCCCCGGTGGGATGTTCCAAATATTCCCAGGTTAGTTTGTGATCATTCTCAGTGAGTATTAATGGGTTTAGTCAACTGTGCAATGGGTACTTTGGAGGTGCATTGCTCATTGGGTACTTAAGAAGCAGCGATGAAGCATGGCATGGAGATGCTCCCTTCTTCCTAGGGCGATTAAAGGGACAAAAATAACGTGTCATCTTTACCAAAAGGCTAACCTGGGAGTTTGGAAGTGTTGGTGGAGAATACTGTCATAGACTCCTCTGGTGCTGTAGGCTGGTGAGGAGACAATCTCTACGTGCAGTTCCTTCACAAAGGGCGGTATGGATAGCAAGGACCGACTTCCTTGTCTCTCTTCCATACCAGGAGCTTCCCCATACCTCTGCAAAGGAAATAATGGCCTGGTGGAGCCTTAATGGGGCTGTATCGCCAC